GGGGGGGGCGAGGAGAAGGCAACGGGTGCTTCATTTCCACACCCGACCAATAAGGGGGAATTGAATTAAATTTGGCTAAAAGGTATTCCGGCTGGGACCAGGGAGAGAAGTTTTACCCGCGGAGAGCTCTGATTGGTTCTTGGGTCCAAGCCCAAGCTCTTGCTGCTGATGCTGGAGGGGGAGGGGGTGTCATCCCCCAACCACCACTTCTCTTCCTCGTACACCCTCACTAAATAAAAACTGAAGTTGTGTGAGAGAACAACAGCCCTCTTGCGTGATGGCTAAATTAAGAGACGGCATGGCCATAGGGTTCATTAAAAAAGGGTTGGGAAAAGACTTTTTGAAAACTCTATTTTATCAGAATATTTTCAAATGTTTCACCACTTGTTGTAAGAACAGTTTTGGGCGGGTAATTTTTTGTAAATAAAATTATCTCATATTTAGGGTGCATGTGTGCTGCATTTGCACGTGGGAAAGAAGCCTCCCCCTTCTGCTCTCCCAACGGGTGACGCGCGGAAAGACCAACGTCTGCCAATTGTGTCTAACAATGCCGCTCTCGTCTCTTTGCAGGAGCCATCTTCACGGAGGACCAGAAGGACAGCGCGGCCGAGCTCGCCTTCAAGTACGCCGTCTACCGGCTCAACAAGGACAAGGTGTTCCCGAGGAGCACCCTGGTGTACGACATCCAGCACGTGCCCAGGGACGACTCGTTTCGCACCTCCAAGAAGGGTGAGTTGAGCTCGATGTACAGTACAACCTCACTGCAAGGAGGGTGAGTTGAGCCCGATAGGTGTACCTCACTTCAAGAAGGGTGACATGAGCCCGATGTGCCTCACCGAGTGACATATGCACGGTAAAAATGACATCTTGGATTTCAAGCAATCTACTTGCTTTTCAAGACAGTTTTCAAGGAATCAACTTGAATTGCAAGATGTTCTTTTTACCGTGTGGTTGACACACACTTTTTGTGTGTGACATGACTGGCATGCAGTACTAATTGAGCTAATTAAGCAGAAGTCTGTTAGAGCCCCCCCCCGTCCCGCTTATATCTTCCAGGATCGCGTCAACGGCCTCGGACACTACTCGACGGGGGGAGGGAGGGCGGAGGACGGCGGGCTCGCTCTGGCCGCAACACGGCGAGCTTTCTTCCTCAACCGCGAGCACACGGGACTGGGGGGG